TTGAACAACAACCATGTTCTCAATGAACCCAAAAAACTCATTAATATCAAAGCTGAATATTTTTGGAAGTAGTTTTTAGTTTGTTTTTAGTTATAGCTATGTTAGGGGGATATCTGTGTGTGCAGGTGACTATTACTGTGCATAATTATTAGGCAACTTAACAAAAACAAATATATACCCATTTCAATTATTTATTATTACCAGTGAAACCAATATAACATCTCAACATTCACAAATATACATTTCTGACATTCAAAACAAAACAAAAACAAATCAGTGACCAATATAGCCACCTTTCTTTGCAAGGACACTCAAAAGCCTGCCATCCATGGATTCTGTCAGTGTTTTGATCTGTTCACCATCAACATTGCGTGCAGCAGCAACCACAGCCTCCCAGACACTGTTCAGAGAGGTGTACTGTTTTCCCTCCTTGTAAATCTCACATTTGATGATGGACCACAGGTTCTCAATGGGGTTCAGATCAGTGAACAAGGAGGCCATGTCATTAGATTTTCTTCTTTTATACCCTTTCTTGCCAGCCACGCTGTGGAGTACTTGGACGCGTGTGATGGAGCATTGTCCTGCATGAAAATCATTTTTCTTGAAGGATGCAGACTTCTTCCTGTACCCCTGCTTGAAGAAGGTGTCTTCCAGGAACTGGCAGTAGGACTGGGAGTTGAGCTTGACTCCATCCTCAACCCGAAAAGGCCCCACAGCTCATCTTTGATGATATCAGCCCAAACCAGTACTGCACCTCCACCTTGCTGGCGCCTGAGTCGGACTGGAGCTCTCTGCCCTTTACCAATCCAGCCACGGGCCCATCCATTTGGCCCATCAAGACTCACTCTCATTTCATCAGTCCATAAAACCTTAGAAAAATCAGTCTTGAGATATTTCTTGGCCCAGTCTTGACGTTTCAGCTTGTGTGTCTTGTTCAGTGGTGGTAAGATCTTTCAGCCTTTCTTACCTTAGCCATGTCTCTGAGTATTGCACACCTTGTGCTTTTGGGCACTCCAGTGATGTTGCAGCTCTGAAATATGGCCAAACTGGTGGCAAGTGGCATCGTGGCAGCTGCACGCTTGACTTTTCTTAGTTCATGGGCAGTTATTTTGCGCCTTGGTTTTTCCACATGCTTCTTGCGACCTTGTTGACTATTTTGAATGAAACGCTTGATTGTTCGATGATCACGCTTCAGAAGCTTTGCAATTTTAAGAGTGCTGCATCCCTCTGCAAGATATCTCACTATTTTGACTTTTCTGAGCCTCTCAAGTCCTTCTTTTGACCCATTTTGCCAAAGGAAAGGAAGTTGCCTAATAATTATGCACACCTGATATAGGGTGTTGATGTCATTAGACCACACCCCTTCTCATTACAGAGATGCACATCACCTAATATGCTTAATTGGTAGTAGGCTTTCGAGCCTATACAGCTTGGAGTAAGACAACATCCATAAAGAGGATGATGTGGTCAAAATACTCATTTGCCTAATAATTCTGCACTCCCTGTATTGAAACATAAAAAAGGAGTGAGGTAACTATACAAATTATATTCTATAGTAGACAGGGAAGATGCTTATAGGCATCACATTTAGGCAACCAATACCCAAGGCCTAATGGAATAGTTGCCCTGCCTCCTACTGGTTGTACCCAGACATTACAAGGCAGGGTAGAATAGGTTTGTCTCTCAATTCTAAACGCTTTTGATAGCAATTCTGTAACCCACTTCTCCATGCTAAATTTCATAGTAACCTCCTTCGCATAGGAAACTAGTTGTCCACACCTCTCAATCACAACCTTGCGTCCTTAAAAACCAATGGCCTTCCTTTATTAAATCTTAGTGCAACTTACAACTCCTACAACTCATAGAATGTCACACACACATAACCAAAACAAATTAGGGTCATAGATTTAAAGGGTTTTGGCAAATGGCACAATGCAGACTATACCTTGGCTTCCCAAAATGGGCAAAATGGGCTGAAAAGGACACTGTAACTGCTTTATCTAATTGAAGTGGTTATAGTGTCTATCATTCCTTGGCACTGTCCTTCCATTCAGCATTGAAACATTTTTAATGTCTTAATGCTAAATGAATGTCCCCAGCATCTCATACACTGTGTGCTGTTTGGGCTCAGATCCCCAGCGGCAGTGTGATCTGCAGGGAATTGGGAGCCCAGTCTCCATTCCCCAGCGGCAGTGTAATTTATTGGGAATTGGGAGCCCAGTCTCCATTCCCCAGCGGCAGGCTGAGTTACAGGGGGCAGAGATAGTTGGTCCGGGCCCCCAGAAGCAGCGTGTGTTACAGGGAATTGGGAGCCCAGTCTCCATTCCCCAGCAGCAGAGTGTCCTACGGGGAATAGAGAGCTCAAGGAAGCAGGCTGAAGGGTCAGTGTTAGGACCCGCTTAGGGGGGTCTGCCTTGACGTTGGCAGGCGGGCATTCCCTCCAATGGCCATTGGAGCAACTAAATGACCTCCATTTATATAAATAAACATAGGGATTAAGGAGAGAGCGCAGGTAACTCTTTCTTTTCTTTGGTTTTTATGTGTTTTAGACCTGTCTCACCATCACATGGTTTTAGAATCAAGCCCACAGTAACATAAGGATGATCATGGTACCCCACAACCATTCTCCCCTGAAGACATGTTATTACACCAAAGCAGTTCTTTAATTTAAAATACAAAAACATCTAACAAGATCTATGCTAAATGCTGCCAAGTCCCTGATCCCCATTCTATGGAAATGCCTACAGGCACCAATCATATACCAATTAATCTCTAAATTGGCAGAGATTTTTGCAAAGGAGAAGTCAACAGCATTTTTGCCTCAATCCATTCTTAATTCACATTTACTTGGTTCCTCTGGCAAAAATTCATATGTGTCTGCATGTTGTAAAGTTGACAATACTTAACTTAGGGTAGACGATCAGCCACCCTACCTGAAACACCTCTTCCCCCTCCCCCTATACTTCTTAAAGAAGTGACAGAGAGGCACTTTATATTTCCACGATAGATATATCACCTGTTCTGCCTCTCCCTACATACAAATACCTTCCAGTTCTTAGCTTTTGTGCAATTCTACCAATTGCTAAATACAATGCCTCACACGTGTCACATATTAATGACTGGAAGGCCCGGTTTCCTTTTGCAGAGACTGAGAAACTGGTGATGTTGATGTCAGTGTTACTTTCCCAGAATCCCTCACCTCTCCAGTCAGCAGGTAGATGATCTCCATAATGACATTACCCAGAATCCCTCACCTCTCCAGTCAGCAGGTAGATGATCTCCATAATGACATTACCCAGAATCCCTCACCTCTCCGGTCAGCAGGTAGATGATCTCCATGGTGACATTACCCAGAATCCCTCACCTCTCCAGTCAGCAGGTAGATGATCTCCCATAATGACATTACCCAAGTCCCTCACCTCTCCAGCCAACCTTGGGTAGATGATCTCCATAATGACATTGCCCAGATCCCTCACCTCCCGGGCAGCCGGGTGATGTTAGTCTCCATAATGACATTACCCAGATCCCTCACCTCTCAGCCAGCCCCAGATTGGGTAGTCTCATAATGACATTACCCAGAATCCCTCACCTCTCCAGCCAGCAGGTAGATGATCTCCATAATGACATTACCCAGAATCCCTCACCTCTCCAGCCAGCAGGTACATGATCTCCATGGTGACATTACCCAGAATCCCTCACCTCTCCAGTCAGCAGGTAGATGGTATCCATAACGACATTACCCAGAATCCCTCACCTCTCCAGCCAGCAGGTAGATGATCTCCATGGTGACATTACCCAGAATCCCTCACCTCTCCAGTCAGCAGGTAGATGGTCTCCATAACGACATTACCCAGAATCCCTCACCTCTCCAGTCAGCAGGTAGATGATCTCCATAATGACATTACCCAGAATCCCTCACCTCCCCAGCCAGCAGGTAGATGATCTCCATACTGACATTACCCAGAATCCCTCACCTCTCCAGTCAGCAGGTAGATGATCTCCATACTGACATTACCCAGAATCCCTCACCTCTCCAGTCAGCAGGTAAATGATCTCCATACTGACATTACCCAGAATCCCTCACCTCTCCAGCCAGCAGGTAGATGATCTCCATACTGACATTACCCAGAATCCCTCACCTCTCCAGTCAGCGGGTAGATGATCTCCATAATGACATTACCCAGAATCCCTCACCTCTCCATTCAGCGGGTAGATGATCTCCATAATGACATTACCCAGAATCCCTCACCTCTCCAGTCAGCGGGTAGATGATCTCCATAATGACATTACCCAGAATCCCTCACCTCTCCAGTCAGCAGGTAGATGATCTCCGTACTGACATTATCCAGAATCCCTCACCTCTCCAGTCAGCAGGTAGATGATCTCCATACTGACATTACCCAGAATCCCTCACCTCTCCAGTCAGCAGGTAGATGATCTCCATAATGACATTACCCAGAATCCCTCACCTCTCCAGCCAGCAGGTAGATGATCTCCATACTGACATTACCCAGAATCCCTCACCTCTCCAGCCAGCAGGTAGATGATCTCCATAATGACATTACCCAGAATCCCTCACCTCTCCAGCCAGCGGGTAGATGATCTCCATGGTGACATTACCCAGAATCCCTCACCTCTCCAGTCAGCAGGTAGATGATCTCCATAATGACATTACCCAGAATCCCTCACCTCTCCAGTCAGCAGGTAGATGATCTCCATGAATCCCTCACCTCTCCAGCCAGCAGGTAGATGATCTCCATACTGACATTACCCAGAATCCCTCACCTCTCCAGTCAGCAGGTAGATGATCTCCATGGTGACATTACCCAGAATCCCTCACCTCTCCAGCCAGCAGGTAGATGATCTCCATAATGACATTACCCAGAATCCCTCACCTCTCCAGCCAGCAGGTAGATGATGTCCAGAGCGAGATTCAATATCCTCTCAGCCATCTGATTCCTGCATTTGTTCATTATCAAGGAGTTTTTCTGTTGCTCCATATCAAGCTCTGGTCCTCCTAGAAGAATAAGAATAATCGTTAGAATACCCTCAGTATGCAATGTGAAAATATATACGGTGTAGATAGATATCTATCTAATTTATTATTTAAAATTAACCTGAAATAGGGGCAGGTGGGCATCCCTCCATTTCAGGTTGATATATATGTTCTGGAATAATAGGGATAGAGACCTAAAGTAATTTCCTTGGGTCTCTCACTACAGAAATAGATGTCAGATTTACCTGGGTGGAGTAAAATTGTTTTATAACTGGTGTTGTGTGTCTTTTGTTACTACTAATGGGGCCCCTTGAGATTGCACCCAGCAATGTATTACAGATCTGACAGGTTGTTGACAAGTGGTGGATTGTGGTAATTCTACGGTCACCATATTGTCAACTAAACAGATGTGAATGATTGTAAATTTCTGGCAGTGTCACCACACTGTCAGAGAATCCAATGTGTTGGAGTGTCAATCATGTTCTGACAGGGTCACCATAGTCAGGATGACCATGTGTGATTGATTGGGGATAATCCATGCCAGCATCATTACTATTAAGATATATACTGATCAGCCCCAACATTAAAACTACTGACAAGTGAATAACATTGATTATATAAGTACAATGTCACCTGTCATGTGGTGGGATGTATTAGACAGCAAGTGAAGAGTCAGTTCTTGAATTTCTTGTGTTGGAAACAGGAAAAATGGACAACAGAAAAGATCTGAGTGACTTTGACAAGGGCCAAATAGTGACAGCTAGACAACAGAGTGAGAACATCACCAAAATAGAAAGTATTGTGGGGTGTTCTTGGTGTATAGTGGTTAGTACCTACCAAAAGTGGTGCAAGGAAGGTCAACCGGTGAACTTACGTCAGCATATAGTTGTCCAAGGCCCAGTGATGCACGTAGGAAGCAAAGGCTAGCTTGTCTGTTACGATCACACAGAAGAGATACTGTAGCTCAAATTGCTAAAAAACTTAATGGTGGCCATGACATAAAGGTATTAGAACACCCAGTGCATCACAGTTTGCTGCGTATGGGGCTGCGTAGCCACAGGCCAGTTAGAGTGCCCATGATGGCCCATGTCCACTGCTAAAAATGCAGTCAATGAGGATGTGAGCATCAGAACTGGACCATGGAGCAATATTTTCTTTTAGATCAGGTGGATGGCAGTAGGAAGAAGGCAGGCCGGCGGAGGCAGTGTTATGCACTAGGCAATGTTCTGCTGGGAAACCTTGGGTTCTGCCATTGGATATTACTTTGATGCTTAACATCTACCTAGAGATTGTTGCAGACCATGTACACACCTTCATAGCAATGGTATTCCCCGATGGCAGTGACCTCTTCCACTGGATCTGCTGCTAACGTTTTGATGTCAGATCCCACAGGACACGTTCAGAGTTCTTGTTGAGTCCATGTCTTGATACATTAAAGCTGTATTGGCAGCACGAGGGGGACCTACATAATATTAGGTCGGTGTTTTTAAAGTTATGGCTCGTCAGTGTAAGATGTGGGGAGAAATGAATTATACATATAGATAATTTTGTTACTCTTTTTTTAGTATGCTGCTTAATTTCAGTCACTGACTGTGGAGCTCTGTCATACACTGCACATTACTATGGGTCACATTGCTGTGGAGCTCTGCCATACACTCATACACTGCACATTACTAAAGGTTACATTGCTGTGGAGTTCTGTCATACACTGCACATTACTATGGGTCACATTGCTGTGGAGTTCTGTCATACACTGCACATTACTAAGGGTTACATTGCTGTGGAGTTCTGTCATACACTGCACATTACCAAGTGTTACATTGTTGTGGAGTTCTGTCATACACTGCACATTACTAAGTGTTACATTGCTGTGGAGCTCTGTGATACACTCATACACTGCACAGTACTAAGGGTTACATTGCTGTGGAGCTCTGTGATACACTCATACACTGCACAGTACTAAGGGTTACATTGCTGTGGAGCTCTGTCATACACTGCACATTACTACGGGGTACATTGCTGTGGAGCTCTGTCATACATTCATACACTGCACATTACTAACGGTTCCACCCAAAAAAACCTGTAAAAAATGTTAAAGGTTTTATTTCTTTTATTTTTACAATTTGTAAACTTTGCAAAACCGCTGTCAGCCCCTCCTACAAAACCCTTGTCCTGCCCTGCCCCTCCTACAAAACCTCTGCCCCTTCTACAAATCCTGTACTGCCCCATCTGCAAAACCCCCGCAACCCCCTTCCACAAATCACCTGCTTATCCCCCCTTATAAAGACTCCTGTCCCAATACAAAACCCCCTACCCCTTCTACAAAATCCCTGCAGCCCCACACACACATTTACAGGCAGACAGTCACACACTCAGTTACAGGCAGACAGTCACACACAGTCACAGGCAGACAGTCACACACAGTCACAGGCAGACAGTCACACATACACATTTCCTCCGTGCGGCCAGTTTATCAGCTGTTTGCTTGAGTGAGCTGTGCTGGCCGCACGGCACCCTAACTACCATGGGACACTGTGCGGCCACAGCTCACACAGCCCCCTCCAGCCAGGGCCGGTACAAGGATTTTTGCCGCCCTAGGCAAAGGTAAAGTTTGCCGCCCCCCATGTGACATCACAATGCCCCAGCCATATGATTTGCCATGTTAACTAACGCCAGTGCTGCAGTGACGCCGTGTTTACATTAAAAGGCCTGCAGGGACAGGCTATAGACACCAGAACCACTACGCTGAAGTGGTTCTGGGGACTATAGTGTTTCTTTAATGTGAGGTAAATTAGAGCTTAGTGCCACGAATAATATACTAGATTGCCTACTTACAACCAGATGAGGATGATGATGGGCTCTAGCTGCAGTCTGGCTCCACTGGTCTGGTGTAGAACAGGCTCTCTGGAGGCGGTTTGTAACTGTGGTCACAAAAATCAATGTTTTGGGAGAACGGGAAGCAGCTCCATTTTTTGGGGGTCCTTTACACAGCTCAAGGTCTGGGTCCCAGGGTCCACCTTCATGTTCCACCAATGAGTTTGTTCACAGGGGGTGGAGTGTGTAGGGGATGCCCTGATATGTGTGTAAGGAATACATTGTGTGAAATTGTGTTTGTATGTGTAAGGACTGCAAGGTGTGTTTCTGTGTATGTATGGGATGCATTGAATGTGTGTAAGGGGTGCATTGAGTGTGTGTAATGAATGCATTGTGTGTTTCTGTGTGTGTAAGGGATGCATTGTGTGTAATGGTTGCATTGCTTGTGTATGTGTGTCTGTGTGTTTTCTGTGTGCAAGGGGTGCATTGTGT